CGCCCAATTTTATTTTATTCTGTCTTTCGAGGTTTTTCGATGCCACGGCAGCTGTTTTCAATAAATTCGATGTAAACCTGGGTATAGTGCCTACTTGGTGTCCTGATGACGAATAAGACATCCATTTTTCAGGTTTCAGGTAGGAACGCATATTTCCCGCTTTTCTGAGCTTTCTCACTTAGGTGTTGTGCCTAAGGGTAAGCTTGTTGGGAAGGGAGACACCGCTTAGGATAAATAGCGCATCGTATGAGAAGAGATGAAGTGTGTGAGATATTAGGGTGACTTGCTGACCTCTGTGTCTTCTCTCCCCAAGGACTCAGTCCTGGCGATTGAACCAATGAGAGGGTGCAGATAGCAGAAAATTGGCTCTAAATTTACAGCCTATTTTCTGCTCTCTGCGCCCTTAATTAGAACATCAATTGACTCCTGTGTAAAAGTTTACACCGAATTATAGAATGATCGTTGGATTGCAATTGGATTTACCTGCCGGAAACAGATCACAGATGATGATTTGCGGAAAAGGAGGAATGGAGGCAAAGGATAACGTTCACAGACAACGCCGAAGAGGCTGCAAGTATACAGGAGGGGAAAAAAAGAGTCACTCCCATTCACATTCAATTGATAACTAATTACACTGCAAAACCTAACCGAATGAGCTCAGTTGCATGTTGAAGACCACGTTCTACTCTACCAAGAAAATTACATAAGGGCCTTCTACATCGACGACATCAGAAGATTTACCGTGCACCCTGAATCCGTGGGAAAATCGTCGAGGTACCATAGACCGTTACAACGCCTTTGAAACGCTGGTCAAAAGCGACCTGGCATAGTCACAGCTAGTGTCCCTAAGAAGCCATTCAGCAGTGATTCGGTTGAAGAAATCACGTAGCAACGTCAGAATGGAGCGATTATATGACATGACATCATATGACATCATACCTCACGGTGGTCAGCGTGTCAAGGAAATTCCGAGTGGGGTGTATAAATGGCGCACACCAGAAGAAAATCGATCGACACCGAGTGTCTCATTTCTTGGTCATTCCTTGTCGAGTTTATATGTTAATAAGTGCTTTGTTGTTCAGACGGTAGGAGGGTCTGGGAGACGAATGCTTGTCCCAGATCCTCTTGCCGTCCAAATAAGAAGGACCAGAGCTCAGGAGTCCAAAAGAAACCGGGTGTCGAAGCGAGAAAGTGACACACAGAGACGATGAAGCGTCGCTGAGGGTGAGACAGCAGATACCGCAGCATTGGCGTGCCTCGTTGCTCAAAGTATCGTCCGTGGGAGCATAATTTTTGCCAGAAAAAGGAGATCTTTTCGCGTCATCTTCATTATTGAGCGCTTTACCTACCAATTTATGCTGGAGCTTGCCTTCAACATGGACACGGTTGCAAGTTCTGTTCACCTAGCGCCCCTTCTACGCATACATTGAGTAACGAAACCCGTCCAGTCCCGGAAGCTTTCGCTAAGTTCTCTTGAATTCAAGTGTATGGGAAGAATTTGCTATACCTAAGACTTGCAGTTGGTGCTAAAACAAGCAATGTGGGACCTTGATCCCTAAACTACTTTGTTAAATGCATTACATAGTAGATCTAATAAGGGTACCGGTCTCTAAGTATGAACGGGCGAACCAGTACCGTTTACGATTTTGCCTTTGCTATGTATCAAGTGAGGTCAAATCAACAAAATACACAAATATGAACACTTTCTAGGTTCTTATGAGGAGCCATGCAAAAATGTCTCGACGTGCCGTTGAGGATTCCTCAACGGCACGTCGAGGATTCTCGGCCCAATCAGAGACGATCTCTCGCGCGGACATTCACACTCGCCATGCCGTGCCGTCTGTGCTCTCCGCGCGGATGTTCACTCTCGGCACTACTCTTGCATGGTAAAGAGCTATGGTCGAGGGTTTCCTTGACCGCTATTCACCCCGCTCGCACCGATGGGAATAGGGGGATTTACAGTGCAGCACAGTGAAAAAACCACAGTGAAAAGAAATTCTTCAGAGAATCGTTCCGCAGATATCGAAAACAGATTAGAGCTGTGTGTCGTAAAACGCGTGCATCGGACTACATCTTATTACAAATGGTCGGACTGACCAATTGACCATTTGTTGTGAGTGATTATGGCTAGTAGCGACTTGTGTGTAATATAATAGTAGCAGTGCTCACCACGCCTACTTTGTGGCTCTACAAACTAAGCGCAGGAACAAAAAGTTGGTAATTTCACACTATCCAGGGTGTACGATCATGTTAAAAATTTCCTATCAGTAGAATGCTTAAGCAGTATTG